ACCTTGTACTGGCTCTTTGAAGGCATTAACTGTTCTTTTCCTCTAACAAATTGAGGCATTTCCCTTTCCTAAGCATCAAGGAAAGCTTTGTATTCTACTTGCTTTATATTCAAGTCATCCTCATTACCTTTGTAGCATTATGGAAACTTATCTGGGAATGTAATGTTTTCTTTGCAAACACATCCCTCATGAGCTGAGCTTTCATGCTTTGCTATCAATGGTAGGGTTGTCACAGGATAAATTTAGACAGTTTGATCTGATTTTTTGCTTTATAAACCCATCAGGATTTCCTGACGATGTGTTTCACTCCAAACTCCAGATTGTGAACCTACTTTAGAAGACCTGGAGCTCACCAGAACTGTCACTTGTGCTAATCCATTTTAGGTAACAGACAACACCAGGCACCCTCAGCATATTCAAGAGGCACTGTGGGGGGAAGATTACATTGTAAGTGTTGCCCTTCACTGTATTTCCCTCCCAAAGCAACTGAAATTCTCATTATGGGTCTATTGACATAGAGGAGAATGCAGAAAGAATAGTTTTAGGCATTGGGGACTACAGGAATCGAGAGCACGTCTGTGCTCAGACACACAAATATCCTCCCTGTGCATTTGCAGTTTTGGTTTATTTATTTCCCATCTCTTCTTGGCAACGTCAAGACTGAAGTGATCAGTGTCATGATGCACAAATAGCTGCAGAAGGCAACCAACACACAGAACAGTGCCAGTTGTTAAACCTCAACCCAATCCTGTCAGCACTGAGTCACTGGTGAAGGGCTCCTGGCTGCTATGGAACCGGTGTGAAGTTAACAGCAGGACTGGTGGGGCTGGTTGGTTTTCAGCAGTTTCCATTCTCATCTCTCCCTCACATTACTGCTATTTTTAACGTACGTATAGAATGGAAACAGCAAACAACAGATTGGACTTCTATATGGGGCACTGCAAAAAGCAAAGCATCTTGAGAGCAGGCTCAGCCACATATAGAAAGCACCACAACAGGCCCCTGCCAACTTTATAAACCAGCTCCCAAGAAACACAGTGAGAATTCCTAAGCACAGGCCCTCCCCAACACCCACTTGTCCAACAGGCAAAGCCCACTCCTACAGCACTCCCTGTGCTCCAGCAGCATCAGAGCACAATGGACAGCAACATCACCATGCCCCTGGCTGGGTACAGAACAGTTTCCTCACTAGCTGCATTCAAGCAAACCAAGAGCAGAGCTTGAACGTTTCCATGTGACATCCAAGAGCTTCTCCAGCAAACCCTGACCTCAGCAGCCCATTTGCCACACTTATTAATGAGGAACAGACCCTGTGTTTTGTGGCTTTAGAGGGGGAAAGGAACCAACCCTAAATAGCTCTTGAAGCTTTCATTTGCATCTGATCACTTTGCAGGGTGCACCTACCCTCTCCGGAAGGGTTTAGGCCAAGAAATCCTCAAATGCATTTTGACAAGCAGTCAGCAACATTGACAGGTTCTTAATATCTTACCAAAGTGCACAGGAATGCAGTGCAGGCCACCCACACTTCATTCCATATGCATTAAGCAGCTTTGGAACGAGCCAAGTACTTTAAGTGCATGCATGAAGCTGCTTCCATATGCATCAAGCGAGGAAAACTGGGATAAGAGATGTTCTAAGTGGACTAAGATGAAACACAAAGGGCTTTGCTTACTATTCACTGTAAAAGCACAGCAGCTTAGCTTTATGTCAGTGAAAATGCCTTACTCTTTGCAATCTCAGCTTCTCCTTCTCTGCAGAGCTTTTGTGGAATTTCTGAGATACCTGGAATGACAAAACACACGTTTTAGGGATCCACATCACTGCCTTTCCACAAGGCCCTGGAACTCTTCTGAGGAGAGCAGAAAGCTTCACCTGAACTGGGTTAACCTTGTTCTCGCAGGTTTGTGTATTCAGCAACTTACCTATTCTACCAGAACACAGTTGAAGCAGATCTGATTTACATTGGAGCCTGAAGCCATCCAAATGCTTCAGTTTACTCAGCCTTGCATAACCAAATCCCTCCAGTCTCCTCAGTTCTAAAGCAGCATTTGCAAGGGAATATCATGTGCAGAAAACCAAACAGAGATTAGAGCTGCTCCAAATCACAAGAGCACAACAGAGGATGTTTAATTATGGCAAAGTCACTTCCTTTGAGTTAAAACTGGTTGGTTGGGGTATTTTATTGCATCCTACCACTTACTCTTGGTATGATATTCAGCTACAACAGCCTCAGTTCAAGGACTGTTATCCATATTTTAACACTGTTTCTTCTGGCTTTTCCAGCAGCACATCAACCTGAAGCTCCCACCAGGTCACACTTCTCATGTCAATTAATGCTGTTATTTATACAGGGGCATAAAAAAAGGTATTTGATGTTTAAGAGCATTATTCATGGACTGCTCAAAGGCTTCATTTGCCAGTGTTTCAGCACCCTGGGGCTTGGTTTCTTGTATTCCCCTGTTCCTCTTCTTCCATTCACAGTAGAAGGTGGGATGTTTAAACTCTGTGGTTACCAGTTTAACACTGACCAACTGCTTTAGCTCCTGTCCTCACAGACATCCCAGCTGACACAGTGCAAAGCTGCAGCAGGACAATCCATATCTAAACTCAGAGCTCTTTCAACTGGGAACTTTCCTTTCTCCGAGCTGTTTCCACTGAGGCAAACAAACACACCAGGACAGGTTGAGACACAGCTTCCCACTTTGGGAACAGCCCAGGAGCTGTTCCAGCCTCACCTCACACCACAGGAAACCACCAACTTGGTTGTGTTCCTGCCTTCCATCAGGAGCCCAGCACTGGTTTACTTGTTCTGCTATCCTGGAAATCCTTCAGGGAAAGATTGGGAGTTTTAACTGTATAAGAATGGATCATTTTCCTTGATAAGGAGACAGAAGAAGGGGAAACCTTGCCACCTCCTGAGCTCCAAGCCCCAGCTGACTCATCCATAGCTCCCCCAGGATAACCTAGGGTTGGAACTGGATGAGCTTTACGGTCCTTTCCAACCCAAATCAGGCTGGGATTCTGGGATTTACCCGAGCCACATGCTCCATTCTCTGGCAGCACATAACCCCCACCTCAAAACCTGCCCCATCTTCCCCTCTCAGGTGTAGCTGAGCAGCACAGATGTGTGGGGCTGCCCAAGCACATTCCCCAGCACTGCTCTGCTGCACAGGCTCCACTGTGGGTGCCTCTGCACCCCACTGATCTCTTCCCAAAATAACCAAGCAATGAACAGGCACTGGAGCCACATGAATGTCCCAGTCACCTCTGCAGCCACTGCTGTCCTCAGCAGCTTCCCCTTCACCAGAGCACCACGAACCACAGAGCTCCCAAACTGCAACTAAGATGATAATAAACCAGCTCATTCAGAGCCGATTTCAAGGGGTTCCCTCCTGTGCTCCAGCCTTCACTGCCTGACAGCATCCTGCTCCCTGGGAGCACCATCCATGCAGTGAGCATTCCCTGGAGCAGCTCCTGGCGTGCCTGGAACAAGATGGATGAGAGCACAAGCTTTGTGTGCTCAGTTGAGAGGCCCCTCTGGCTCGTCCCCCATGCTCACAGAGGGATCTGCAGTGCCACTGGTGCACTCTGGCTTCAACCTCAAGCTTTTTCTATGCCTCAGCCACAGAAATTCAGAGCTGGAAAAGTTTCTGCACTGACCTGGACCATGGTCTCTCATAGGAATTGCAGCAGCTTCAGCAAGGAGAGAATAGAGCTCGTAAAACATCACCTAATGGACAAACCTGCTTTGGACACTGTCCTTATCCCAGTGACCAAAGCCCCAAGTCCCAGAGTATGTACTTGAGGGGGTTTAAAGTCACATTCCCATGATGCAAATACACCAGCAGCTCCAAACCAGGCATGACTGGAATCCTTTTGCTATGGCTAAGAGATAAAAGGGCAATAACTCAATCATATTCCTAAGAAATCACCGTCACCTTCCATACGGATACATCCCAGTGATTCCAAGCACAGGAAACCACCCACCAGAGAAGAGACCAACCTTCCTCGCAGGCGTGGAGACAGCCAAGGGACTGGAGGTTCTCTTTGTCTCTGCTGCAGGTCGCACCTCGGGTGAGCTCCCAGAGCCAGAGCTGAGCGAGGAGTTGGTGAGTCCTGAGTCCCCTTCCCGGGATGATTCCATGGTCTCGTTTTCCGACGTGATGCTCCCATCCAGAGAAGCGACTGGAGGAGACTTGGCACTCATAATGTCCTGCAGGAGCACCACAGGCATCTTGCCCTCAAAGATGACATCCTTCAGTTCAATTGGGTTTACCTTTGTGCTTTTCACGTTGTTACCCTCTGTTAACCTGGAATGTGGCCGGATTCCAGCTACCAAACCTTCATCTTGATTTCCACATGGAGCATCAGTCTCCAGGGACTCATCCATTTGGCTTCTCTGAGAGGAATCCAGGCAACTCAACTGGTTTCTCGCTTTTCCTAATGTGCCATTAGTTACAGCTACAGATGAAGATGCTTTTGAATCCACATGGTCTCTGTCACCACTCAGTCTATGGTTGGAGCCCTTTGTCAGGTCAATAACAATTACAGGTTCATTTGGGTTATCTTTTGGGTTCTTCTGGATAAAATGGTCTAATGGTCCCTTTCCATTAACAAGTTTAGGAGCAAAATCCAGCCCTGGCTCCAGCTGGCAGTCATTCTCCACATTGTCCAGGGATGCAGACAACACGTCAAGGGAGGAATCCTTACTGGGACCAAACCCCCCCGGGGAGCTCTTCACTTTCTTGACTTCTGAGTCTGCATCGTACTTGTCCTTGGGCACAGGGTTCAAGCGCTTGAACGGCAGCCGAGCTGGAATGAGAGCTGTGTGTTAGCTTGGGCACAGACACAGTGTTGTGGGATGAAGGGACCTTAAAGCTCCTCCAGCTCCAACCCCTGCCACGGGCAGGGAC